TCCAATATGTATATTTGCCCATATTGACGTGGCTCTCCGTCTCTCGGATGAAGAGGTCCTAGCCTGTGATAAATCTGGCCATGTATTCGATAACAGTAGGGCCCACGTCCTTGAGGCGTTTCAACTTGCGCACCCATCGATGCCATCGCTAAGGCGGAGTTGAAACTCCTTATATTCTCCAGGAAGTTTTTCTGATTACGCCGTAGTTCTTCGTTTTGCTGTGGCTCTCGAACAAAGAGCTGCCGCAATTGTTCGGGAAAGTCATTGAAGAAGTTCAAGGAACATCGTCCAAGATCACAACACTCCTGGAACTTGCCCGGATGGGTGATTTTCACTTCGCAAGGGAAGTGCAGAGCTCCACAATCTATGCATCGTTGGCTGAGTTCGCCTAAATAGTTTGTTCCTGCAAAGCGTGTACGCAGCGCCTCTCCGGTAGACTCTGTAGTTCTGTTCCGTCGTGAGCGGGCAGCGGAAGCATTTATCCGTAGCCGAGCAGATCTTTCGTCTTCATTTTCAAGAGCACGGCGCCTCCGATGTCTTTCAGCGTCTTCTTGAAGCCGAGCGGCTCGTGCTGCGCTACTCTCTGATTCTCGCCTCCTCAGAAGACGCGCGGCTTCCGCTTGTGATCTCACTTCTCGCACTTCTATACTTTCAGATGTGCGTCTTCTATGCTGGGTTTGTGCGTTCCGCTGCATTCTTATCTCACGCTCATCAGTGGTTTCTAGTTGTCGTCTTCTTCTTTGTAGCTGGCTGTTGTTCTCCAACCGTACTACTCGCTCTTCAGCCGCTTCCAAATCACGTCTCCTTCGTTGTCGTTCGGCATTTCTTTCCATCCTAACGACTCGCTGAGTAGCGTTCTCCAAGCCGCGCCTCTGCTGCTCTCTTCGAGCGTTTCCCTGCAGCCGAATAGCACGCTCTCCGGGGTTCTCATCCTGGCGCCTCTGCCGCACTCTCTGAGCATTCTCCTGGAGTCGAATTATGCGCTCTTCGGAACTTTCAAGCTGGCGCCTCTGCTGTTGCCTCTGAGCGTTCTCGTGTAACCGGAAAGACCGCTCTGCATGGCTTTCAATATGACGCCTCTGCTGCTGCCTTAGAGCGTCTTCTTGCTGTCGCGAAGTTCGTTCTGCAGGGCTTTCCTGTTGACGCGTCTGGGAAGACTGAAAGATTGGAGGCATCTACACTTTGCTACTTTGGAATCAACGAAAGTGTATTGACGTTTGTGAATAGAAAATGAGAAGGAAGTTTACCTTTTGGCTTGTAGATTCCAAGCCCCGCGGTTCACGGTGACCGGGGCCTTGAGCGATGATGCTGAAAGGATCAGATAGGACCCGATTGCTTACGCCCAACTGGTGAAATTTGCGGTTTTCGAAGACATCGAACCCTCAAGGTCCCACCGTGTGAGGGTGATCCTCGTTTCATTTTTACACAAATGCTTTGAACAACAAAGCGATAGCTAGAGGTGAGCTCTGAGGAGGGATACTCAAATGGAATCCCACTGCGTGTGAGGTAGAGTTGCTCACAGTATTCAACCGCTGACAACACAAACCCCGAATAGTAGTGCCGTAGATAAAACGTTCTCAGGTGAAAATTACTGCTCACGATATAAGTGGAGGAAGTTATACTAAAGCGATGGAAAAAGCATTATTCGGTAGGAATCCAGTGGAAACTCTGCATGTTCGCCAATATGAGCTGTTCTCCGCTTAGTTCCTGCCGCCCGAACGAAACTCAGAACAGTTGACAATTACCTGAGAAAAAGTAGCCGTAGGGATCCACCGAAGCAATTGATGGAAAAATGAACTAAGATTCACTGACATCTCATCATACTTTGTCGATTGATACGGCTCTCCGTTGCACATTTCTCACCATATCATCACTTTGCGGATATCTTATCAACCCGGCAGGACTATAAGTCACTCATAACGCTCCAAGAACTTTTGGCGGTTGTTGAATAATGGAGTCACTACACTCTCTACACAGTCTCTACACTTCATTAGATTTGCATTCGCAATGATCAGAAGGCGCAGAATTCGGTGATATGCACTGCGATGCTCCGTATCAGCACTTTCACTTCTTATTTCCATTCAGCTGTTACCACCACAACGCATGGTCGGTGGCAGACCATGTATGCATAGAATTGTGCACTGCATTATTAGCAGAAATATATTATGTAGATTTAAAAAATAGTTTTATAATCTTTTCCTTAAAACACCTCGTAGCTCTAGATTCATACCCTTCCTTACTGCTCACGATCATTCTCCTTTTCCTCTTCCCTTATTGTTTCAGAACGCTAAAAGCTTAACCTATCACGGCGAAGCGGCCAACCAACTGGATGATTCTGCGCTTTACCGGCTCTTATCAGCCCTTATCAGTTTTATCATTCTAAAGCGCCCACCGATTGCGTTCATCTGCCCCTTACAGACTTTTTGTTAACTTGAAGTCCCGTCATTGCTTGGCTCCCACCTACGAAGTTGTGGCAGAGATTACCTGCCTAAGATTCTCTCGATAGTATCTTTATTCAGTTGTTGTCACTGCCCTTGCCACTCCACCGATTTGAATTCCGCATCCTGCCGCCTTCAATAGTTATTCTTTATTGGTGAATTGTAACTGTTGTCCCGTCGTTTGCTGTGGCCCCTGCTAAGAAATTAATCACCTTCCCTTTCTAAGGCCCCTTATGGTATCTTATCAGCGGTTGAAACTCCCTGCCACCTACTAAAAGTCTCACTACTTGGATCCAAAGTGCCGTCGTTGCTCTGGCCGGCGTTGTGAATCAGGTAACCTACCCTTTCTAAGGTCCCTTGTGGTATCTTATCAGCTGTTATCACGTCCTGCCACCCACCAATAATGTTCCCATCCTGCCTCCTATCTTACTTCTTGGAACCAACGCTCTAGTCTTGCTGTGACGCGCGTTATGAATTTGCTGACTTCGCCTTTATACGGCCCCTTATGGTATCTTATCAACTGCTATCGCTTCCTGCCACCCACCAATAATGTTCCTGCCCGACCTCCTACATCATCTATCAGTTTGAGCGCATTATCACTGTTTTGAAGGAAGAGTTATGAATTTGCCGGTCAATACATACACACACAGGACAGCACATTCCACTACACACACACACACACACACCACACACACTAACACACACACACACCAATAGACAAACTTAGCGGATTATATATAGTAGGATTTTCATACCTTATCTCAACGTTGACGCTTCCAAACACACTCTTCACATACTGCTCACAGACAAGCAATTGCACAAAGATGCATAAGGCTCCGCACACTCAGCTCCGTCTACTTTAGGTAGATTTTCGCGATTTCTAGCAATATTTTACTATCATTAGTTATCCATATTTTATTTCCGCTATCCATATTTTATCACTTGTTCACCATCTCAAGGTCCAAACGGCGTTAATACTGAGAAGGGAATGACACATCGTGGACGATGCCACAATAACCGCAGAGTGTTCGTAGTTGTGTGCCCAACTCGGTCGCAAAGAAGATCGCTGGCAGTCAAAGTGGCGCGCGCTGGCGCCCAGGTGGGCGCCAAACTTTTGTAAGGAAGAACGGGATACGATTGCGTGACAAGATGAAGTCAAATAACCTAGGTATAGAGCTTTCCATCAAATCAGGTGTCAAATGTAGCGCTAATGACAAAATGAGTATCACTTTCATGGTCTAATAAAAGCCCGCAGTCATCTGCAGCCAGGGTTTCGTAAAAAAAAAAACTTTTTGGGGATTCGGACCGCAGCACATATCTTAGGTTGTTCGAAAAGTCCTGCGACACTTTGACCAATTTTTCGGACTAAATTTTCAGTCACTAAAAGACATCTCCAATCTACAAGGTAATCACCACTAAGGACTAGGACTAGTGCCCTTCTTTTGCACAGCCTTCCTCATTTCCCATTCTATAGAACTACGGCAGCTATGATAAGAAGAAGAGGTGGACCTCATTTTGAGTAGACGTCGATTTTCGGAATTTTTGCCTTCTTAAGGATGCGGTAGGGATCAAAAAAGGTAGTAGTTAGAGACTGCTAACTTTGATGAATAAGCTGGGTATGGTCGCATTCTCAGATCAAGATCCACGATCTTTTGGTGTGGCCTGATCCTAACATGCGGTCTTCGCATTGTCCGAGCGGTAGAGAAAAATTGAGTATTTTTGAATGCATGAGTCATCTGATCGTTTTAAATCATTTTTACACTGCATGGCGAGCGGCCTGTTTGGATTGTGTTAGGTGGTCTAAGTGGACTTGTAAGTAAGTCCTTAATACGTGTATGCTAGTATCCAGAGATACCGCTTTGAAGTCCCACCAATAACCTACTGAAATCTTTATCCCATGCACATCTGCTTTTGGCTGTGCAATCTACTTTTCTCTCTGAGAGATCCTGCGAGAACATGAATGCAAGTTGTACCGCAAGGACACCCACCACTCTTTACCAACTCAGCAAGATCTCAGCAAGTGTTCCTCCAGTTTGCTACAACGGAAACAAAAAAAACTCAGTCAATCGGTCATATCGTGTGACTATCAGAGGTTTCAACTAATAGCGCCATCCTTCATAAAAAATTTTTCCGATAACCGAGACTGCGGAGAAGCATGGCAGTTGTCAGTTAGGTGGAGCCTAGAGAGGTTGCCAACTTACTGGTGGTTACGTTCGGCTGCGCCTCAAGAAGCTTGAGTAAAGGGCCGTCATTCTGTGCTGGTGGCCGACCTATACATTGCCTACTTCCGAGTTGAATAAGTCCAGCCTGGAAGCGCTGATGCAAAAGGAACTCTCTGCCGTGGCAAGCGAAATATCGCTTCCTTCAAGACAGGCGTCGGTTGTCAGCTTCCTCGTCTACGCGCGGAGGATGGCCCTAAGATACTCATAATTATGGTACAAATGGTCGAAAAGTACCTCGATCTCTGGGGACTTTTAAGCTTTGAAAACTTCCTCAAAGTCATGATATACCCATGTGCAGAAACCCCAGAGGACAGTCCACTAATCAGGGATAAAAACATCCAAAATGATTTTTGGTCTTTTTCTAGAACAATTCAATCAAAGTGTCGCAGGACTTTTCGAACAACCTAATAGTTGAAAAATTTCAATTTTTAATTCAAAATATCTCATGGGGGCAGCAACATTTTTCTTGCTCATCCTTGTTGGAAACTCACCTTCCACAGGTTACTCGAAAGCAAGAAAAAGATCGATTGAGACTGCCGGCAATAACCCAAAAAGTGATGGAGAAAGTCATGAGCCACCGGTGGCTCAGATTGTCCCACGTGGCCACTCACTCATGAGCCACCGGTGGCTCAGGATGTCGTCAACGTGTTAAGAATGTTGAACAGCTCGTCCATTTCGGACTGAGTGGACGTGATAACGCAGCAGTCATCGATGTAACGGCAATGTTTGCACAATGTTTTAACGAGAAGACAGAATGCTTTAGAAGGCGTAGCCAGATTTCCGGCTCCCAATCACCAGCTCGACGCACTTAATGATGTCGATAGGAGGGATGGCATAGAAGCAGCAACGACGGCGAGGGATCGAATCAGGGCTTACTATGACGCAAGAGACGCCCTCCTAAAGTTGAGCTCCTCGTCTAATGCTGCGTGTGAGTTTGTAGAATTTCTCCAGTCACCGTGATCTCATTGAATCCTAAGAACGCTAGAAATCACGGTGGTGCTCTGAGCTCATCTATGTTTATCACGACCGACGCGTTCATGAGTAATATTCCAGATATCATGTACATTTTGTTTCCAGCCGTGGCTGGGTCCAGATTGCGGAGTTCGGACGCAACAATAGCACCTTAACATCATGATGTTATAATATGATCCCATCAAGGAGCAAATCACCGAAATGTGAATAACTGTCTTCAGCTTGAGCTTGAACTTGTTGGGTATCTAGAGATGAATTCTTCGGTTCTACTACTGGTGCAGTAGTGGTATCCGTTTGAACAGACGCTTTCACTGCATCTGTGGCATCCTTGAATCAATTTCAGTGCAACTGAAACTACGGTTCTCTGAGTTCTGCTCGCCTACTCCGTCTCAGGGATAAGGAGTGTACCTCACCGTCTTTTTTATTCAGTCTCGTTCGGCGTGGTTTTGCTTCCATACATTCGGAGAATCCTCATTTTCATTGATGGTGACGAAGTTCCCAGTATCGTCGAGATTGGATGTGGTTCTTCTTTGAAGGAACCAT